CTTGCCTTTAGAGTTTCTTTCATTGAAGTCTTCTTATAAGACTTGTTTGGTCTTCTTTATTTCTTTATGTTTATCTTTGATACTTATATCTATATTCTTTACTTGATGTGAGAGGTCTTCTATATTCAAATTTTCTTTTGTTAGCTTCTTTTCAGAATTTCTGCTTTGTCTGCATTTTCTAAATTCTGATATTTTAGTTTCCTTTTCTTCTTCCATTTTAATTACACCTTTTATTTTGTTTACTTCTTTTTTAATTTTTTCCTTGCTTATTTCTATCTTGTATTTGATTAACTTGAGATTTTGATTAATTTACCTTGCTCTTTCTGTTTATTTTTTTATTTCTTTTTCTAGAACAGCCTCTGGATTTAGACTTAAGTAATACCTCAAGTATATGTTTATATACTAGAACTTCTATTAATATAATTTTAGCTTTATTTTTAATTGTTAGAGTCTTGGCTATATGTTCGATATTACTTGGTTCAGTGAGTGTGACTTTTTTAGCTACTTTTTCTAGTGGCTTATCATATATATATTTGGCTATGATTATACTTTTGCTTCAAATAAAATCTAAAAAATTTCTCTTAATCTTTTTTAACTAGATACTATGTTCTCAAATATTCTTTGATAAATCATAGTAAATTCTAAGACTATTGTTGTAGATTCTATAGTTATTTTAATAATTTTTTTAGAAAAAACTACTTTAATTTGTTATTAGTTATTAAGTTTATTGCTTTGTTGTTATTATTGTTATGTATGTTGTTTGGTTATTGTTACTAATAATATCAGAAAATTTTATATAGAGATATATATCAATTGATAACCTACTAGATATATATTGATAGCAATTACCCCTGCTGGGTTATATCGATTGTAGTATATAACGATAGATAACCAGTTTTAAGGCAATCGATATATATCGATTTAGATATCAATCGATATATAACAGGTTTAAACAAGTAATTTTTTTTAATAAACGATACTACAAAATTTATATAATACGTAATTTTTATAAATACTATATATCAGTAAATTCATTATAAAGTGATATATAATCATATCACATTGTATATATTTTCATGCTACATACAGCGCAAATACATAATTTTATTACAGATTATGAAATAAATCGCTAGCAATTAATTCAAAAAAAATATATTTGAAGCAAAAAACATTAATTGCAACCAAATAATTCATCAGCATCCTCTTGAGAAAGTCCTATTTGATGCTGAAATGAGAATGAATCAGCGATTGAGATGGCAAAGGTTCAGCTTCGGTTTAGTTTCATAATGGGTTGACGCTTGTCTTGAACTATTACTATGACACGTATTTTCATTGTTTAATATCGCTTCGGCTGAATCATACGATAGACCACCATTACCAAAATTGTTCTATATTAATATTATAAAAAAATAACAATTAATAATAATTAATAGTAATACAAATTAATAATAATTATACTTACAAGGTATCTTTCAATATGATGCATAAGGTGTTTTTCTGTACATATGATGCTTTTGAACTAAGATTTAGTAAAAGATCACAGACCGTGAGCGTAAAAGTGCAATGCTTATTGGAGAGTTCAGATATAGCAACCTCAGTGAAGGCCGACCTCGCAATTATAGATATTCAAAAAACACAATCATTGTTCATTTCAAATAGTATACAAAAACAATTACGAACTTCTTCGCTTTGTTTCTAACTTAAAATATTAGCTGATGTAGCATTTCGCTTTAATAGTAGCAATCATTTGTACCTGAATATGCGCCATACTGCTGCCCTTACGTTTTGAACTGACGTACCTCAAAGGTTCTTCATTTTTTGCAACAACTAGTTTCGAAAATAATAAAAAATCAAAAGCGAAAGAAGTATAAATATTAATAACAAAATAAAACAAAAAAAATGATAAATATCGATACATATAGGGCTAAACCATTCTCTATGAAACCTATTAGTATATTGGTTGAAGCTTAGATTACGCATGAATTCAGAGAACTTCTCTTCAAGACATTGCCGAAGAGCATCCTTCAAATCATTTTGGCCAGAATATATATGGCTCGAAAAGAGCCACTTCATCACACAGGTAAACACGTCCTATAATATATATATATTTACTTTTTAGTAAAATCAATACGCTATATACTACTAGAATCTAAATTTACATAGTGGGTTTGTTGAAAGAATAAAAAAATAAAAACACTTACATCTATCACTTGTGCGGAGAGATCGTTCTCTTTTTCATCATATTGCTTTTCCAATCGCTCTAGCCTGGCTTTTATTTTGTTCATACTTTCGTCAAGTCTCTTAAACATTAAGTACAACTGCTTAAAGTTGAGTGAACATTTGCTTATCAACTTGCTGGCAGTAATTGTTATGATAGTTTGCTTAATTATATATATATATATATATATAAAAATATATATATAAAAAAAAAAAAAAAAAGAATCTGAAAATTGTCAAAAAAAAAAAAAAAAAACTTATATAAGTACTATATCAATTGTGTGTACAGTTTTGATTTGCTGATCTTCTATCACTATCACGTGATAGAGATCTATCTTGTGATCATTGTCTTGAAGAATATTATTGAGATGGGGATAATGATTGATCATGATCACTATATCGAGATGTAGGGCAAGATCTAGATTTATAGCGAGATCTAGATTCTTGGTGAGATCTAGATTTATAGTAGGATGTAGATTTATTTTGAGAAGTGAATAAAGGCTGGTGAGATATGAATTCACGATAGGAGCAGATAGAGGATGGTTGGCGTAATTGATATCTATCGCTCATATTTGAAAACGTTCGTTGAATACTTCTAATGCTTCTAGAGGTAGAATCAGAAGAAGAACCATTATCGTTAGGATTGGGTAGTTGATGAAGTTTAGCAATATCATTATTATCAGGGTTTAAAAATCAGGAGATATTGGATTGAAAATGAGTAACAGGTCTTGTGGGATATGGTAGTGTATTATTTCTGATTGTGTTTTATATTTTCAAAATTCATTTATCAAAATTTTTTTTATTATTACCTTTTGTGTTAAACCTGTGTATTTATATTTAATAAAACTATTACGCAAGAAGAAAACAAATTAATATCTAATGATATCAACTACTTATGATAAAAAAAAATATAATAATGCAAGAATACTTATTTATATAAAATTTACTCGCGTAATTAAATTTAAAGTATAATAACGTAAGAATACTTATTTATATAAAAATTTACACGTGTCATTAAATATAAAGTATCTGAGATTTAAAAAATTATTTTAAAAAATTAATAACCGATATTGTGATTTTATTCTCTTTGCTAATAGTTGAGGTCGGGATTGCTTTTAGGACAGAGATCGGACCGGTCAGACTGTACTGAACCAATTCATCTCTATTTATAGTATGTAGTTCAAATAAGTTATACAATACTACCAGCTTTATACAAAATTATGCTTTCTATAATATCGATATATATCGAACTATAAATATTGTATATGCATCATTATTTTTAATAGGTATTTATGAAGGCCGATCCAAACTAGTATCAGGATGGGACCAGTTAACTATAAGATCAGTTAAAAAGCCGGTCTTTTCAGTACCAATCTATCTCTAATATTAAATATAAACTTTATATTTTATCTATACTATCGTTTTATCGCTATTGCTTCTATATATATTAGATATTTAATTACTAGTATAATTATAAATCACTTTGGTTCATTTGTAATTAATAATTATAACAAAAGAAACTCTTGATGATATTCTATTTCTGTTAATATTTTGAACAAAATGACAAGTTGCGCTATGATTGCTAATAACATTACTTGCAATTTATAGAGGTTGATTTATTGATCTGTATTGTTCATATTAAAAGTTCGAGATTTCAATATAATAAAGATAATTTACTAGTTTAAATAGATTATATAATATATCAATGATCAATTTTTGTAATTAAATTAATTAAAATATAAAGTTTATTTTGTTTAATGTTTTATATCATCAAAACATTTATTCGATAATTGCTTAGATTGAAAAACAAATTTAATTCATATATATATATTCGTTTTAATCGATATATATTGCTTTAAATTCACATAACTCATATTCATTTTTTACTAAACTTCAGTTTATTTTTTTTTACATCTAAAAACCTATTATTTTCGTACTAATCGATATATATCGATTTAACAATTTGTTATTCATATAACTTCTAATTGCTTTAAACTAATTTCTTTTCATTATTCGATCTCTTTTATTTTATTTTATTTTTAATCAGGTTCCAGTATCCTAGTAGTTTTCTTTTTTTTAGTTTTTTTTATTTATATCTTTTTTTTCTCTTTTTAAATATGTTGGTTGTGTGAGTATTGCAAGTAAGAGTTTTCAAAACCTTATACTTTAATACAACATATTTCACAAAGGCACCCTTATATCCAAGATGATGCAAATCAAATTGCTTCTATTGAGCAATTTGATGATTCTATCTGGCAACTTTCAGATTTAATGATTATAGTTCAAGTGATGAATATTCTACAAATTATGAAGTAATTTATAAGTTTATTATAGATATGATAACACTTATAGTAAAAGTGAGAATGGAACTATATATTATATAGTCCTATCCCACTTTTACTATAGGCATTATCATATAATGATTATTAACGAATACTAAAAATTTGTTTATTTTTAGAATGAAAATCTATCATTTTAGTCTGAATTAGATTCAGATAATCCTGATATTATGGAAACAGAATCTTAAGCAAATGATAGTTATTTTATAGATTATGAGCTATCTCAAGAAGCATCGACTAATGTTAATCCTGAAGATTTTGAAGGTGCTTCATTTGATGATGCATTTCATGACTTAGAACATATCTAAACTATTGAATGGCCTAGCGATGCATATCGAGAGTTTATGAGTATAATCAATAAATATCAACTATCAAATTCAGCCGGAGATGCTGTAATAAATTTTTTCAACAAGTTTTCTAATATAGATGTTTCACCATTACTCTCGTCAACAAAGATTGAAAAGCAATTTCTTGATAATTCTACTGTCTCTTATGCAATGTTTAAAGAAATTCCAATTAAAACATTTCAAAATGTTAATTATGTGTTTTATTATCGGTTATTAATTAAAGCAATTAAATCATTAATATCGATTAATAGTAGTACTAGACATAATCAAGTTTTTACTTAACCTCAAATATTTGATTACAGATCAAATTCAAATTTGTAAATCAATCATATGCATTTTATAATACAAATATGCAGATTGAGAATACGTAATGGTACATACATACGTATGTACAATGTAACGAAATAACAAATTAGGCTATTAACGTCACTTTGTGTTGCATACAAAATGATCACTTTTGATAAGTAGAAATAGCTATCCACTATTATCCCTAACTATTATTTCTAGAAAAATCTATATCAACGGTAAGTGTTTATTCATCTATCCCTTTATATTTTTGTTTGTTTTGTTTTCTGCTTTTTTTTTTTTTTGTTTTACGAAAAAAACGTGTTAACAGTATACATATCGCATTCAGTTTTGGTTACATTGCATATTTCCCAATTCTATAGATCTAAATTTACTCAAATTTTTTTTTGTATTCTGTTCTGGATTGGTCTCTATTTAATAATCAATATTTTATAAGCCGGCTTAATATGAGATGATTTTGCGAGCAGGTAAAAGAACCTTTAGTATAGTATAAGCTATTCAAGTTTGCAATCTATGACTAATTAGTTTCGTTTAACCATAATATAATTAAAAAAAAAAAGTAAATACATTATATATATATGTGTAATTTTAGAAGCAGTATTATAACTTAGCATAATCTTATTGATCACTTCTTATGTAAACAGATAGATACACTTGTAGCCAAATTACCATGCGCATTTTTAATAATCATAAGTATGTCCAAGTATATACAGTTGATACTGTCTAATTGTATATACTCTCTAACAGCATAAGAAATTTTAGATTTTAACTATTACACAAACATGGTTCTTGTAACTTAAATACATATACTGTCTATATGCATGAAAAGTCTCTGATGAATAGCATGCAATTAGATAGTATTGACTGTACTACATATTAAAGCTCTATAGAGTATACAGGTAGATTTATATGAATAGTTCAAGTGTTGGTCTAGAGTCTGATCAACTATAAATGCTTATTATCATATGTTATTAAATTTATTAACCTGATTATACTACTTTACATAGGACTCAATTCTTTGTGTAGTTCTTTGTTATCTATTAAAATTATTAGAGAACTTCGTAAAAGACATATCAGCACTATATAAAACTACAGTAATTTATAAAACATATAGAAACGTTAACAATCAGCATAGTGAACATCGTTCTCGTATCAATTATCAGGCATCAGGTATCTACAATTCAATATTCTAATATTAATGATTCTGCTACTGATGCTTTGCGAAACAGGATCAGCAAAAAGTTACAAAATCTATATCTCTTGCTAATCAATAAAATATTATGCAAAAAGTCACTTTCAAGGATTATGACATAAGTTTACTTGATAAATCAGATTAAGATATGAACGTCAATATGAAGGTGTATTGTTTGATCATATTTTATGTTGCCATAATATACTATATTATAAATGAGATTGATTTCTTTTAAATTAATGAAAACTGAATATTTAAAAAAAGCTATTAGATCTACAAAGATCTATATTGTATAACATAGAATTAATTTATTTTATGTGCGTTAATTTAGTAGTAAGTATAAAAAAAATTTATTACCGTCAACTCTTTCTATAATGATCTAAAGATACTGGAAGGGAAAAATGTTCATTATAGAAAATTTTTATGTAGAAATTTCAAATTTTTAGCTTATTATATTCAGAGTTATAGAAAGGTTCGTTACATCCAGAGCCAACTATATTTTAAAAAATGAAACAATTTAAATTTGT